CCGCCGCCACCACCGCCGTCAATGTCCACCACCACCCTTCACCACCACCCTCCACCACCACCACAATCGTCCATACACCACCACCGTACACTACCACCATTAATTTATATAGCAGTCTACAGATATTAAAAAAACAAACAGTCTTCTTCTTGCAGACCGCAGACCTTTGATCCACCACTTCTCGTGCAGATGTCTACAGTAGTGGTCCGCATACTGCAGACCTTTTCCTGCAGAAAAAACAAACACCCCCGAAGTCTTAAGAGTTTTAAAATTGTCAATTTTAAAACGTGGGTCAACACTCAACACAATCACGATCTCATAAATAGCAGAAATGAAAAGATAACATTCACAATATTTTTTTATATCTGAGCAATAAAATCACGTGAATTTAAATATTTCCATGTCCTTAAAACAAGTAGCAATCTAAATACACTCGGTCCCGTTTGGTACATGAAATTCAAACTATGAAATTGGAATTGGAAATTTCAATTCCAATTCTGGTGTTTGGTAGCACAAAAATTATGTGGATTTGGAATTGATAGTGCAAAAAATGAATTGAAATTGACAGAATTCAATTCTATGGAATTGAATCCCATGGAATTTATAATCCAATTCAATTCCAATTCCACCAATTCTATATACCAAACGGACCTTCGTAAAAATACGATACTTATTGACTTATAAACATGTTAGAGCAGTTACAACGGCGAGTAATTTTGTTGCCTCGCCTGCCACATCATTTGCTAACACACTATTTTTCTTCTTGGCGGAGTGGCATACCATTTCTCTAGAGAGCAAGGCACATGCGAGTCGCCACTCACCCATCAAATCAAGTTTGTTTTTTTCTCTTTTTCTTTTTTCTAATAATTTTATTTTCATTTTACATTTTTATATTCTTTCTTTTTTCCCTGATACTTAATACGGAGTATAATTGTTAAAAATTAAAAAATAATAACCTGCCACTATGACCCATATCATTCCATTGTACTCCGTATTTAATTTTTTTCCTCATCTTCTTATTATAGCATCAACTCTTTGTTTTTAAACTTTTTTAATTTTTTTGTAAAAAAAAGAATTTGTTAAAAAAAAGTACATTTATTTTTATGAAAAAAGACAAGTAAAATAATTTTTATAATTAAAATATATTTAAAAAATGTAAAAATTGACAAAAATAATTACTTGCCATTGGAAGGAATGTCACTCCACTCACTTGCCACATGCTGACTGAACTTGGTTTGATTGATTAAAATACTCCACATCACTGTGTGACATTCCATTTTTTACTTGTCATTGTTCATGCTCTTAGAAGAATAAAGTAGCATCATTAAATATTCGACCATGCTACACTTACACCACAAATTGTATCCCATTTGTACACCGCAGTTATACACAAACATTTTGATGGTTTACACCGACTCAAGAGTTGGTGCGATAATAAAAACTTACACGGACACAAAGTATTATTACATTAACAAAAATTAATTTTACACCAACACAAAGTGTTGGTGGGTACAAAGTGGGGTACAAAAACTTGGGGTACAAATAGTTTTATCCTAATACTTTCAACATATTTGCAATTTTTTCTATTGAATCAAATTCATGTACTCCCTCTGTCCAAAAATGATATTCTCATTAGACTGTTTTTGGGTAAGGTTTATAAACATTTATCTTGATTTATGGAAACTATATACTTCCTCCGTCCTATATCTTTCTTCTCGTTGCGCAAAATGAAGAAAAATCCCAAATTTTTTCAATCTATTTTATTTAAATATTGGTATAGAAATAAAAAATAAAACATACATATTTAAAAACTACATCAAAAATTCAACGAAACAAGTGGTGACAAGAATATTTTATTTTATCATATAGGCCATGAAAAAACACAAATAAATATAAATTCTCGTAAAGTTGGAATAGTGCTATGGGAAAAAAAGTTTTAGAACGAAGGGAGTATTTTTATTTTGATATAAATGCAATACCACTATATTTTTTACTAAACATAATTTTAGAATATTACGGAGTATATTTTTCATAAAATATGTCTATATATAAATATTAATAATGGTCAAATCTTGAGAATGTGAAAAGTTCATTTGACTATGGACTTGGTTCTAGGGAATTACCTACGACAAAAATTACCCACTTTATATTTTGTGGCGATTTATCTTCCAACTTGCAAGCCAGTAGAAGAACGAAGTATGGGTCAAGTGCAGAGCGGGAATGTAGCTTCGGCATCAGTGGATCAAAACCATATCACTCCTTCATCCCCCACCGCCACATCCGCAGATTCCAAACCCCAACCCTCGCCGCCGCCGTCACTCGATTCATTGATTGCCGGTGCGTAGTACCCTTCTCTCCATCCTCTTTACGTGTTCCGAATTTTTATTTTCCTTTGTTAGAGTGTCTAGACACGTTGATGATGTTTTGATGGTTTCATTTCTTCCAATCTGTTGTATCCTGAATATGAATGTTTGAAGAAAGGGGAGGTACATTGCGAAGCATTGGATCAATTGATAGAAAATTTTAGGAGAGACAAGTTTGGAAGTTTTTCATTGCGGTCTGTGGGGTGTTATTGTGTACATAGAGAGGGTGTCTGGGAGTGATTAAGTTGCGGGTAAAGTGATTTTAACAAAAACCTGAACTTAATGCACCTTATATAGTTATATGTGCTTCTCTAAAATGATGATCTATATGCAAAATAGTGGTGGGGAAAAAGAAGTTGACATGCCAAACAGATTAAGACAACGACCACACAAAGCAGAAGCCAAACTCTTAATTTGATTTAAATCATTTAATATCTTTTCTTGAATGTGGAAACATGCCAGGACTCAACTCTGGTCCCAAGGTGGACTAGGCCGTATTAGCCGATTTGGCCTTTGTGGTCTGGTAGCACAAGTACTATGATTGTGTGATAACTCTTAAATGAGTTACTGGATAATATTTGATATTAATGCAATCAGCTCACTTCTTAGTTCTTACTCATGTTCACAGCATCTCAATGTTACTAGAATAAGAAGCCAAAGATAAATTCCAGATGTTAAAAGATTGTTTCTACTTTTTCCTTAACCCAACCAGGCATGAGATTTTTATTGAAATAAAGTACAATGGAAATAACTGGCAGACACATAGACAGTTTCGTAACTGACTTAGACTCTAAGCGGACAGTGGAGTTGCAATGGAAGTAACTACTGAAGTAAATAAACTAACCAAAGGAAGTTGGTTCAACAACAACAAAACCAACATAG